AAATAAATAAATACTAGAAAATACTAAAAGATAAAAATCTGCACCTGCAACAATTAAAAAATTCAAAATTAACATATATTAAGTATTAAATAATAAATTTATAATAATAAATAGAGGACCAATATAAATACTAAAAAAAAAACTAAAGAAAAAAATCTGCACATACAACAATTAAAAAATTAACACATATTATATATTAAAAAAAAAACTAAATATTAAATACCACAACATATTTTTCAAATATAGTACAACAAATAGGATTTATCTATTTACTAAAATAAAAAGTAACAAAAAAATTGTAATATACATATGAACAGAACAATAACTAACAAATAAAACGAAAATGTTTTTTTTTAAATAATGCTTATAATATGAAATACTTAAATGAAATATATATATTTCATATATATATGAAATAAATACCAATTAAAGAAAGGAAATTTCTAATCTATTTGCTACTCTGTTCTTCGAAAAAAAACTCCCTTCTAAATCAAATTTCGATCATGCATTTATACAGGTAATTCCTCTAGTCGATGCTGCTGCGAAATTGGCAGCTAAAAACCATTTGAAAATTTCTGCTCTGCCACAGCTTGAGTTTCAGTTTTCTGATTTTAGTTACGAGTATTTGTACCTTTGTTTCTCCGTTGCTGCTTTTTGTATCTGTTGTTTTTGTTTGTGTTTGTGTTTTTTTTTTTCATCGTAGTGCTGTTGAAGCTTTCAGCATTTCAGGTGTAACCGCAACCGCCGCCCGGTCGCCGCTGGTAATCACACCGCTGCCGCCACCGCGTGTGCTGCTCACGTAGCAGCAGCAGCAGCAGCAGCATCATTCGCGGTCGGAAAGGGAGTTGGGGCATGGGGCATGGCGATGGCAGGTCGAGCTGCAGGCTGAGGCGGAGGTGGAGGCAAAAGCCAAGCAGCAGCAGCACACAGAAACTCAGTCCGAGAGGTCCAGGTCCAGGTCCAATCCAAAAGGCACGTTGCAACTTCGTTTGGCTGCCGTTGTTGCCGTTGCCGTTGCCGTGGCCATTGCCATTTTTTGTCGTTGTTGTTTTCTTCTGTTGCATTTTCTTGCTCTTACTGTTCCTGTTGTTTTTCCTCTGTCTGCCTCTCTCTCTCTTTCTCTCTCCCACTCGCTCTCTGTTTTACCTTCACTTCAATGAGGACATTCAGGCGCACGTTAAGTTCAAGCTTTGGGTTCGCTTCGTAAACTGGAAACACTGTGTATTGCTGCTGGTTGCTGGTTGCTGCTTTTGTTGTTGTTGTGATTATCATTATATCTGCAAGATTACCAATTATTTGTTGTTGCCGGTTGCACTATGCGGCACAACCTCCTTGGCCTCCACTGCTGCTGCTGCTGCTGCTGCCGGCTGCCGCTGCTACGTTTTCAAGTTATTTTTTATAATTCACGTTAATTTTTCTTTTAAAATGAAATTGCAATGGAGCATCCCCAGCAAAGGCAGGAGCTGTAGCTGGAGCTGCAGCCAACTCCTGCCCTGGCCTGTTGTTGTCTCTCGATTATGTCAGTCGAGGAGTGTTGCCTCCTCTTTGATGTTGAGATGCTGCTGCTGCTGCTGCTGCTGCTGTAGAAACATGATCCATTCATTCATGCAATGGGGCAGAGACCTGTTCCGTTCGATGGGAATGGTAGTGGGGAGGAAGTCAACTGCCATTTGTACAAATCGAACGACAGTACACCCCAACCCCCTTCGAAATTGCAGGAAAAATAAATGGATACTTTCAGATGAAAGATTGAAGTTTGAGGATTAGAAATGCATTCATTCCAGTAGAGGAACAAAAGTCAATTATATCTAAAATCTATGTTTAAATATCCCTTTAATAATTACATATGTACATACTAGCCCCTATACAAAAAAAAAAACATAAATGATTGCAATAATAATTTGTGACATGTTTACATATTTTTCTGCATAAAATATTTACATTTCCCTCATATCCGTTGGTCGCCGTTGTGTCGATTATATGCAATATTTATGATATTCCATCCATACATAGATTTTCCCACAATTTCCCCCACCTTTTCGATCTTTTTTCTGCCATCGTGTGTTGATGGGCAAAAACTGTACTTTGTCATTATTCCCATAAAAAAAAAAAAACAGCACAGCAAAAAAAAAAAAGAAAGAAAAGCAATATGAAAATGTTTGAATTAACGACAACTGGCGACAATGGGGTGGACACTCGTTGTTGATGGGAGACACAGACCCGACGACAACTACAACTACAGCAACAACAACAACTGCAACAACAATTACGAGTATTATAATAATAATAATAATACGAATACTCGTGTGTGTGTGTGTGTGTGTGTGTTGTTTGGGGGCAAAGAAAAACATATTTATGCATGTTACATGTTTTTTTGTGCCATGTTTTTTCAATGCAATCTTGTTGCTGTTGCTACTGCTGTTGTTGTTGCCTACCCTGGATTCTGTGGCTTACACAGCCTGTAGGATAAGTACGAATAGGCCACAGACATGACTTTATTCACGCACTGAATGCACACCCAATGGAAAAGAAATGTTCCCATCTCTGCTTGGAGGCTGCTTCCATCTTTGCTCTATTTCCATTCCTTTCGTTCCAAATTTACAGAGTAAAACTAACGTCGAGCTAGTCATACGTTTGCAGTAATTTTCATCCACATTTTTGCCCATTTTTGCAATTACTTTTTATTCAATGTTTTTTTTTGCAGCTGCAATTGTTGTTGCACATTTACAATAATAATAATAATAATAATAATAATTTGATGCTGCCTTTCCTCTCCGTTCAGTAAATATTTGGATTTTTAAGCATATGCCATATATGAACATATCCCTCTAGGATTTTTCGCATTCCATTTGGCACAGTTTTGCCACAATTTTCCCCTTGTAAGGTACACACATACATATCATAGCATCTAATGAGATTTTCTTCTACAGATTTACCTATGATTATGGTTGCCAACGGGGGTTACTCGTATTAAGCATGTGAATTTTCCTTTAAATGCAGCTTCTATTAATCGCTCAACATCATCCACTGCTGCTTTTTCTTTTCCATATGCGATTGCTGTTCAAAAAAAAAAGAGACGTTTACATATGCCTAAAGAACGGGATAGTGGAGCTCCCTTCCTATGTAAATGTAGCATGTAATGCACACACACACAGACGACTAAATTATATATCTAGAACATGCACACATATGGTAAATATGTGCATACATACATATATGCATGCATGTACATAATATGTGCTGCTGTTTGCTGGTAGTTTCGCTTCTGGGATTAAATTGTAATTACTTTATTACTTAATAACAAAACCATTCATGCTGCTAAAGTTATTAAGTGTTTTTTTTTTTTTTTGGCTTTGCTTTTGCTGATCTGCCTTTACTTTAATTTCGAATATGATTTTCGCATATTTAAATTATTTTCGATTATAAATGAAGCGGAATGGCAATGGCAAATCAATACGTTACGGTAAGTTCTATGTGAAAATCCTAAAGAGGGTTCCGAATTGAGCCAAAATTTCACGCACTGCATTCTCAGACAGTCCACGGAATCGTCTACATTCATTTAATATTCAGGCTGGGGCAGCCAATCAATTGAATGTCTGTTTTTGCCAATCACAGGTGCGCGTTGCATGATGAATGCTTCAATCTGCTTTATTCGAGTGGGTGAGAGATGAGATAGTGGGGAAAATGGTGTCTAAATTATAGAGTTCCATTAAAACACAGACTCTTCACATCAATTCCGACTTGAGGCCACAAATAGTTGTCACACATAAACGTTGCCGTCTTCTTACGTTAATCATTGATGCATTAGCATTTCTCACTATATTTATTTAATTTACAAATCATTCAACATATTCATTGGGGAGTTTATTCCACTTGAAGGCAAGGCTGTCCAAGCAGCATTGAAACATCAGTCGTGATGTGACGGCGCTCAATCGATTTGCCAATGGGTGGAATCTGTCAATCGATTGCTGCCATAAATTAAACGCCTAAGCAACAAAATGTCAAAACACAACGCAGCGCCAAAGCAACGACAATATCTAAATGGAAGGCCATTTAAAATGCAATAATTTATGAGATTTATGACTTTTGCATTTTAATTGAATAGATTTTGGATAGCGGGGCTTCTCGTTTCCCCCTCCTGTGCTGCCCCACTGGTTGCGGGGGGGGGGCGTTAACAAGCAGCCATACAACAATGGGGCGTGTCATGTACTGCGGCATATGCATACGGGATGGATATACATATACATACTACATACTACAGATGTATATGCCTCTCTCGGACTCTGGCAATCAGTTAATGGAATCTAATAAACGTGCGCGTATCTTTTGGCCACATCTAATCGCTGGCTGGCTGGCTGGGGCACGCGAACGCGAGCAATGCCAGGCAGCCGTAGCAGCAGCAGCAGCAGCCGCAGCAGCGTACCCGTACAGGCTACCCTGTAATTAAATGCCAAAGAGGCGCAGGCGAAAGAGCAGGCAAAAAAAAACTGAAAACAGAAGCCAAACACTGCCAGACGTAACAGCGGCAGTGAGGAGGCGTTTCACTTCACCATGAAATATGTCAAATGGGGAGTAAAAAAAAACCACAAAATATACATACCCACATATGTATATGTATATTGTAAAATGGAAAAGCAAAGAGTGGAAAGACAGGCTTTCGATGAAGATGCTTCCATCTTCGATTCACAATCACAATTATAAGTATACCCTGCTGCCACAGAGTTTATCTCATTGCACAAGTAAAGTAGGCAAAGAACAGGTTAGCAGTAGGTAAAAGCGATTATTGGAACAATAGAAATATATAGATGGATAGATAGAGATACACTCGCAAGCACTGCTTAAAGAAGAAGCCAAACGATTTGTTTAGTTTATTCTGAATATAATAATTATTAATGATTATAATCAATCGATCTGCTTCAATCTGATAGCTATTAGTTATGATAATTCCTTATGATTCTGCTTCAACGGACTTTGTTCCGGATCACAAACTTAAAGGCTATGTGAGTACGAGCTATGAAAATATGTACCCACGTTGGAAATGTCATTATAGAATTTGTCTACACACTTGTCAGTCTACAAAATCTTTGCCTTTCGTTAAATCCCTCTAAATTTGAGACCCCAAACAAAATGATTAAATTTTATAAATTTTTTACATTGGTTTGCGATGTTGGCGCTTTCGTCAAGCGCCTAAATTTAAGCATTGTTCGGGTGTGTGCCATTTAAAATCCTCCAATTCTCTGCCTAATTGTCTTTGTACATTTTTGTTTTCAGCTGATTTTCTTTCAGCTTCCAAGTGCCACAAGGTAGTTTTGTATGTGATTCACGAGTCCTTGGCAGGCCTTGGCGAAATCGAAGGCCCTAGCATGGAGAGACAGAGCAACAGTTGAACAGCCGGAAAACGTTGGGCTGCCCACTTCTAATACTCTGATACCAAAATAAAAGCATTTACTTACCAAATTAGTTTTATTTGTATATCTGCAAGAAAAGAGAGAAGAGGAGGATCGTTAGAAAAATGTTCAAATAGGTAATTAATATCGATGAGATAGGTAACCGATTCAGAGGCCATTGCTGTAGCTCTAATGGTGCGTAAATCCATAGCCCAACATCGATTCCTTCTGCAAGGAAAGGTGAGCTCAGATTAATTCTAAAATGAATATGGTGAAAGAACTGTAGCCAAAAGGTAGATAAATGATTGGCATAATTTGTGCGGCTGCAATGGACATTCGGAAATAATTAAAAATCCAAATTTCCGACTCAAAAAAATATACCAAAAATATCACACAAATAATTTGTGTGCCTGTCAAATTAGTTGAATGTCAGATGGCGGCTTGATTAGGCGGCTGGCTTTAACCCATGGACAAAATGTGTTGGGGGCAAACTAGGGAAATTCAATTATCCAACGAAATATTCTAGTATTCCACAAAATGAGGCAACAAAATGACAGAAAGAATGTGTGGCAGCTTGGCTACCGTTTTTGACTTTTTGGTTTGAGTTTTGAATTTGATTTTGATTTTGATGAGTTTTTCCGCTTCATTTTCCCTGGGCTTTTTGACACATTTTCCAACGAGTCTTCCACTGCTGCTGCCGCTGCTGCTGTTGCTGCTGTTGCTGTTGCTGCTGCTGGCTGTCGTTTGAAGTGTCAGTTTAGTTTCGTGTCCGTGTCACTCAAGCAGCGCCATCAGTTGGCCCCGTACTTTGTTGCTTCCTTTTTTCTCTTTTTTTTTTTTTGTTCTATGTGTTTCTGTGGAGGGCATTGCGATTGGGGATTGCGATCTAAAACAAACACAAAAAGCGGTCCCTGGCATAACCGTTGACACTCACTCTCCAAACCCCCCCCACCAATCCACCGGTCGCCCCTATGCACTATGTACTACCGTGTCTGGTCGGTCTGTCCTATCTGCTCGACATTTGTTTGCCAGGGCTGTCCATCTTTTTGTCACGAGAGCAAAAGCAATGCCGCCTGTGACACGCCCACAATGTCGCGAAATTGGTTTTGTCGGTCGTCGTTGCGGAGGAAATGCGCACAGTGCACAGTGGCACAAAACAGTCAAATAGTGTGTGCAGAATGCACACAATCTTCTGCTCCCTTTTGATGCTCTTTTCAGACACGCTTTTTTTGGAGAAAAATGTCTGATCTTGTCCCACTGTGTCCCACTGTGCCGTGGTCGTCATTCGTTTGTTGCTGTTGCGTTTGCCTCTTGTTAATTAGCCTTGGCAACAAAACGTGGCCCTAAAAACGGTACCAACCAAAATCACAAGAAAAATCTATTGCCGTTTTTATTTGTTGTTGTTGTTTGTTGTTCGTTGTATTTTATTTTTATTTTTTGCTGTCTCTCGTTTTCCACCATTTGTTTTTCGTGAACCTGAAGATGCAGCAGAGGCGATAACAGGCCCCAAAAGGAGGCAACATCATCGTCATCGTCATCGTCATCATGAAACATGCAACAGCAACAGCAACAACAACAACAACAGCAGCAGCAGCAACAGCAACAGCAATTTACAAGCGTGACAACAACAAGGAGCAAGAAAGTGGAGTTAGTTTTTTGTGGGGTGGGCGCAAACCGAAGTTTGGTATACCCTAGATATCAAAGTGTTCCATAATATGGGACACATATTCTCTGTGGCACAATGCAGCTGGAAATGATGAAGAAAAAGTTTCAAAAATATTCGGAATATTTTGATACTTCGAACTTGAAGTAATTTATATTTTATTGTGGATTTATTTCAATCAAAGGTAAATAATTATATAACAATTGATGCTGGATTAAATGCGTTTGTGGTGGAAGGTATTTGTATCTTGTATTTTCCATCCTAGAGCGACAAGCATATAAATACTTATAACTATAAATAAATACTTATAAATATACTTAATGTGGTTATTGTTGTTGATCAAAGTATTCTTGATAGCAAGATCCTGATACTTGACGGTGTCCACCAGCGTCTCACCCATAAAGAATCAAAGGTACACCTGTCCACACCTGACCGAAAAAGTTTAAGTGTTCAACTTGCCTCGTTCTCTGTCTTTCTGGGTGTCGCTGACCAACAACTCATAAAAATCAAGCGACTCTCTTTCTCTCTCTCTCTCTGCCAGAGCGATAGAGGGCATAGAAACAGAAGATAGAAATGGTTAGGGGCTTATCGAGGACGAGACCATCTCAATGACTTTCTTAATCACATAGGGCAAATCTGGTTACAGGATATCCGCCCCATCCACAGGGACCACCTCAAGGAACGACGTAAGGTACATGGTTGGGTGGATAGGTAGGGACAGGGACAGGAATGGATGGCTGGACGCACGGATGGATGGATGGATGGAAGGATGGATGGAAGGAGGTGCGGGAGGCACACACAAATTGAAGCTCATCTACTTAACGCGCTTGCTCGCGGCGGCTGGCAGCCAGGCAGCCAGACGTGCAGACGGGCAGGCAACATCGTATCGTTGTCGTCGTCCTTGTCGTTGCCGTTGTCCTGCGGCACAAACAGTCGCCGCCCTCACACCTCTGCCTTCCTTCCTTCCTTCCTACAGCTCTGTGTTTGTGTGTGTGTGTTGTGTGTGTGTGTGTGTGTGTGTGAAGGAGGGTCGCGCAGGGTCTAAGGATAATCTTTGGCATAATTATTACAATGTCACCATGTTTCGCCTGTCGTCGTTGTCCTTGTCGTTGTCCTGTCTATCGCTTACTCTCTCTCTCTCGCTCCCTACCTCTCTCTCTCTCTCACTCTCTCTCACTCTTTCTCTCTTTGTGGCAATTTTTCTTGTGCTGCTGCTGCTGTTGCTGCTATTGCCGCTGCGGTGTGTGTGTGGCACGTTCCCTTGTGGTTTTGCAGCGTGAAATAAGATTTTCCTAGTGGCGAGAGGTCCTCTCTGGTCCTTTATTATGATTACTTGCGCTCGTGTGCGTGCGTTGCCATGGTCAGTAGCCAAGGAGGAGCCGCAGGGCTAGAGATGACCCCACACCCCACCCCCACCCCCACCCAAGAGTGGGCGGTGACCCGTAACATCGCCAGGAGACACTGGAAACACGAGAGTGGAAAGCAGAAGACGACAGACAGACGACATTTGCCCTTACTCTCCACAATGGTTGACACTTGCGTCCGTCAGATGTCGACACTTGACACTTGACACAGCTCCACCCCCCCCGAGGACCCAGAACAGTCCCACTTCCCCCCTGTCCTGTGGTCCTGTGTCCTCTGTCTCGCTGCCGGCGGCAACACTCCCAAGTGCATTGATGCGTGGCTCTGGCTCTTGCAACACAATTTCTTAAGAGACAGAGATACAGATACACCAGCGCTCCTCTCCCCCTCATTTTGAGATTAGCTTCCGCCTGCACAGCATATGGAATATTCCAAATGTGATTAACTTATCAGAGAGAGAGAGAGAGAAGGGCATCTTCCCAGCAGAGATTGAAATGAGAAATGGGAAATCTTCAAGATTCTGTGCCATTTGCTTAGGTAAATAATTCCTCTGGTATGCACTAATCAATGCGATAAAAATCAACAAACAAACAGAAGATAAAAAAAAATGTATCTATTTTTTGAACACAGTTGAGCAACCAGCAGAAGAGAGCAGGCAAAGGGTAAAGTGCCCGTGCCAGTGCCCGTTAAGAGTGAGAACCTCGAACCAAATCGCTCGCTGACAAAACATAATGAAAGTGAGGACGATGGCGAGTGCGAGGGCGGCAGCAGTTGTGATTTAAGATAGCCATCGCATCGGATCGGATGGGATGGGATGGGATCCGTTTTGCCTGATGACAAATGATGATGACCGACCGAGCGACCGCACGCGCACCTTCGGAATCAACAACAATAACAACAAGAAAAAAGGGGACAGAGCAGACACAGTGTCGTTCACACTTTCAGTTGTTGCAGTTGCACTTACAGTCACAGTCACAGGTACAAAGTGCAACATCTGGGCCTCTAAGCTGTCGGCTTTGCCACCCAAAATCCTCGCTGGCGCGGATTCTTCATTTCTTCATTGTCTGCATTTCGGTTTAAGTTCTGTCTTTCATCTACGGCTTTGGCTTACGCCCATTGTTCATGCCTTTTTTTTTTCTTCTTTTTTGGATCGTACGGGTTGCACGGGCATATGTTAGGGGGGAGGGGTACTTAACGGTCCGAGTTTGCAATCTTATTTTTCAGGTCAATGAAATCCACTGTCAGGTGCTCTTCAGTTACAGATGCAGATGCAATTTTGGAGCACTTTTTAATTGGTTTAAATGTTCTTGAACTAATTCTCGATATTCCATGGGGGGATACTGCATGACATTAACACCGAAAATTCCTTGCTATCCCCTTTATGGAAAAAATATAATTAAAATAAAAATATTATATTATTATTATAATATTATAATATTTATATTTTATTATTAAAATATAATTATATTAATAGATTAATAAACGCTTTACCATTGATTCTACACAAAGTCATTTTAATGTTCTCTCTGTTTCATCTGTGTGTGTAGATACTGTACAGTGTACATCCCTCGGACGTCAAAGGCAGACGCCACAATGGCATACATATAATTCCATTTAAATGTAATTTTTTATACAAAATATCATTTTTTTTTAAGCGATTTGTTTTTTATTTTCGTTTCCGCTTTTGTTTTTCTTTTGCGTGTTTTTCTTGGCATTTAATTGAAAATTGCATTTTGATAATTTCCTGGAGCGTGGCACACCGTCCCCAAAATACCTGCAAGCCCCATCGAATCCCGTGCAAAAAACTGCAGTTGACAGTTTAGTTCGGGTACAAAATTCACAGACCCCCAAGGCCGCTAAAACAAAACCACAAAAAAAAAATCTCTCAACCGATTCGCAGGTCAAAAATAAATACATATATGAAAAAATGTACGCACATCAAATGCATTTTATTGAACAGAGGAAAAAATGCTAGAAAATTGATAAGGGAATAGACGAATCTTCGATGCTCTCAAAACGCTTGCAGTCGATCACCGCAACACTAT